CTGTATTGCATTTGCAACAGTTCATGGGTGGACCAACAACAGAGATAAAAGTAGGCCCGCCGTTGGTCGGGGGACACAAATTTCACATATCGGAATTCAGACAAGATCAGCTAACCGAACCCATTTTTAGACCTGGAACTTCACAGATTTTGCATTTCAAAATCCACATTCCCTGTGCACAGCAGAGATCCAAAAACCCCTTGAGATATGGACAGACAAATTTCACATTTCAAAATTCACACACAGGACCAGCTAACCGAACCCATTTAGACATGGAATTTAACAGATTTGCATTGCGAAATTCACATTCACTGTGCAAAGCAGAAATCCAAACCCATTGAGATATGGACTGACAAATTTCACATCTCAAAGATTCAACCGAACCCATTTCGACATCGAATTTAACAGATTTGCATCTCAAAATTCACATTCCCTGTTCAAAGCAGAGATCCAAACCCATTGAGATATGGACTGACAAATTTCACATTTTAAAATTCACACACAAGATCAGCTAACCGAACCCATGTAGACATGGAATTTAACAGATCTGCATTTCAAAATCCACATTCCCTGTGCGCAGCAGAGATCCAACGGAGAGATGCAGAGCAAGAGACGCAGAAGGAGAGATGCAGCAGAAGGGGAGACGCAAAAGAAGAGATGTAAATACCTTTCTCGGCCTTTCGACTAAGATCAAGTGTAGTTTCTGTTATGATCAGTAGTTCGGTATCTGATCCGTGGTCCATCGGACCACCCGATCTTACAGTAACTCAGTCTTTTTTAATGGGGCATAGAGGGGTCATTAACTCAGTTTTTTTTATTATATGGGGGCATAGAGGGGTCATACGGGTAAGCTTGCTTACTCGACCCCTCCGTCCAATGTTGCCTCTGTATTGCACTACCGCGGAGCGCGGCGCAGACCTCTTAGATACAAACAAAAAATAGAGAAACATCCCTCTGGATATCAGTTAAAATGGGAACGACACAGAGAAAAATGATTAGGATGACCCCATCCATGCGTGTACGAGGGGTGTCCTTACGTTCCTTCCCTGCAACCAACTGCATTCTAACATGCGCGAAGGCGCGTGCGCGCGCAAGTGCGCACTCTCGCACGCACTCGACAATCATCCGCAGGACAATCAGCGCACCCTCACTCTCAGATGCGCGCGGCCGCGCACGCAGCAGGAACGCGCACTCGTGCTCGCCTTCAACAATCTTCCGCGGCAGCACAATCGATTCTGTCGCGCAAATCGCACACGCATGCATACACACGCTCTCACGGAAACGAACGGCATCAAATTCCACAACCTGAGATCAACGGACCGATCTAACCAGCCAAATGCACACGAGAAGCGCGCGCGCGCGCGGGCAATCGATTCTCCACCGATAACTTGACAGACGATTATAAGCTATGACTCTTTCAATTTTGGATCTTCTCATCTTGATAGGTGGAGAAGGGGCTTTTCTTTCGACAGGTTAAAGCGCGCGCGCGCGGGCACACACACACACACACACACGCACACATGCACACACACACGCACGCGCGCGGGCGCACGCACGTGCGTAGATTGTTCAGCATCACGTCGTACCATTACAAAGCGCGCCAAGGCTCCGGGGTAGCCTAGCGCGCAGCGATCTGCGTTAGACATATATAAATGATGACGTACATACGGACTAATTTAAGAGGATTAGCCGCGCTCCAGGTCACCGCCGATGGTGCACCTGTAAACGACAGGAGGCAGATCCTTTTCATCAACCACAACGTTTTACAGTAAGTCGGCAGAATGTACGTATCCCGCTGTCCTCTAGAAGGCAGTCGCTGTCCACTAGAAGGCAGGCGAGCCCCCAACCTCATGACTTGCAGAGACAGTGCTACTATTCAACTGCATCAGGCTTCTCATACAACCAAGTTTATCTAAGTCCCCCCACCCACCATCCCCCCTCTATAATCGGAACGAGCAACGATCATTAGATCAGATCTCGGGAAATGGAGGCGAGAAAGCAACCAAGCAGCGCAGCAGCAAAAACCCACATCAAGCTCGGCTTGATTACCGATTCAAAAAGAAGACAGGCTATATAAACAAGACAAAACCGTATCCTACTGTAGATACTAAGCACTCACTTCGCGGCTGTTGCATGGCCATTCGCAGGAGCAGAATCATTCCGATGAGGGAACCCATTAGCCACGGAAGACCTGCTGGTGGTACTTTTCAGATGATGATGATCTTTCCCATCAGCGCGACCAGCATCTCGTTTCTCGGGGGGATGAGGAGCAATGGTTGTTGCCTTAGACCCCCCTCGGACCGACGAGGATGATGATGATCCCGGCCCAGCTGCAGGAAAGGAATGGCGGCGCCTCGCTGGGTCACTACTGCTAGTACTGCCCGCCGCCTTCTTCGATGCCTCCGCGCTCAACCCGACACCTTCCTCTCCTACCCAAGGCCCAACCCCATTCACCACGGTTCTCGCACCGGCGCGCTTCGAGACATCACCCGCTGCTGCACACTTGCTAGTAGTATTAGCCTGCTGGTGCCCAGAGACCCCGCCTCGGCCCCCACCACTCCCGACAGGCCTCGTACCCCGCGCCACAGATCCCGTCGTTGATGACGCTGCTGTCGGAGATGAGCGATCGGTGCCGTTGGCCACGTGGCTACGGCGATCCGCAGCCGCGGGGCTCCTGGCAGACGGAGAAGAGGACTTGCCACCAGCAGCAGCAGCAGCACCGCCGCCCGGCAATCCCACATTACCGCTGCATCCACCATCATCAGCAGGAGTAGCTGCATTATCATCAGCACAATCATCGCGACTGCGACCATGATCATCGCTCCGATTACAATTACGATCATCACTACACCCTTCAACCGCCATCACCCCATTTGCTCCTACCGTTACCTCATTTGCTCCCACCGATAGACAATTTGCTCCTACCCTTACCCCATTTTCTCCCGACGTTAGCCCGTTCGCTCCTACCGTTACCCCATTTGCACCCACCGTTACCGCATTTGCACCCACCGTTATACCATTTGCACCCACCGTTACATCATTTGCTCCTGCCGTTGGCCCATTTGCTCCTGCCGTGACCCCATTTGCAGCCACAGTTTTTACCCCACTTGCTCCCAACGTTGGCCCATTTGCTGCTCCTCCTATCGTTAGGCCATTTGATCCTACTACTCGCTTACCACTGCCTGTGCGCACTGCCGCGACGGAGGAGGAGGAGGCCGTTTTGCTAGCCGGAGAGCGCGGGGAGTGATGGGTTGGTGCCGCGATGGCCGCTGAGGTCTTCGCCATTGCCGTCGTCGTTGCCGATTTCGGTTTCAATGACTCGGCCCTCGTCGATCGCGACGAAGAGGAAGAAGAAGACGCGCCAGATGCTGCATTCACGCCACGTGTCACGCCACCTATACTTCTCCCTCCGGCTTTGCCAGCAGCAGCTGTGGCATCATCGTTTTGCCGCCTAGGAGTCGACGACGCACCCGTCGCGATCCGGATCTGCGGCGCCGCTGTTTTGCGCGATCCAACGGCCTTGACATGATCGCCAGTAACGGTCTCCTCAGATTCGTTCAGTCGAGTTGTAGCTCTGTTCCTGGCTGATTGCGGTTGCGCTACTCCTACTGCTCCTACTCCCCCCCCCGCCCTCCCCCCTCCTCTTCCCCCTCGACCCACCGTTTGCCCGACTCGAGCCTGTCCTCCACCCGCAGGTCCAGCAGAACTCCTGGGAGTCCCAGGACAAGATCCCTCTCGCTTCACTTGCGCCCGCGTCCCACGCGTGGCACCCACACCGAGAGTGCTTCCCGCTGGCGCCCGCGCAGCAGCTCCTCCACCTCCTCCTCCTCCCCCTCCTCCTCCTCCTCCTCCTACGTGTTCCGCATCAGATGCGGCGCTGCCACATTCGACTTCGATCTCAGCGACCCTGCAACTTATCAACGGCCTTGGCAGCCTCGATCCCGACCGGTCCGCGGTTCGAGGCTGGCCCCCCCCTGAGGATGGCCACGGCACTAAACCTGCCGAGCGCAGTCCCGTAAGGGTACTACTCTTATTCGGAATCTCCTCGCTACCTGATGGCGGTAACGACGCTGCGCCACGCAAGCGCAAGCGCAGCGCTTCATCTCCTGCGGACCTCTCCCCATTCCCCTCGCGCTCTTCATCTGCATGACATTCCTCCCAAGCAGCATCGAAGGAGGAAATTTCGGCATCGTCCTCCGCAGCCCGCGCCTCCGCAGATTGAACGGCCTCTGCCACCTCCTCGGGAGACAACTCCGCGGCTCCTCCAATCAGAGCGGGAAGCGGAGGAGAAAGAGGGGATACAGCACATAGGACTGACGCAATTGAGCTCAACATCTTCTTGAACGTGGCGGGCTCAGCAGAATTCGACTTCCCCTCTCCTTCTCCTACCGTCGAAGTGTTTGCTTGCACAAAGCGCTGACCATTGCTCTCCGGGAATCGTTTTTCCGACACTACTGCCTCCTCCATCTCCACTGCAACCGCCATAGCTTCCCCAGAGAAAGGCTTTTCGAAAACCGACGAGCAATGCGACGATGGCACGGGGATCGACGTCTGACTCTGACTGATCGAGGCAAGGATCTCAACAACCTTCAACTCCGACGCAGCGGGGGATGCTGACCGCCCTCCCAAGAGCCGCCGCCCACCCTCGTGCGCATCATCCTCCGTCATCCGCATCTCCGCGGCTTCTCCGCGGCCCGCCAAACCCCACCCTTTAAACTTAACTTACCTTCCCCTCCCAATTAGCTCACCCACCTACCTACTCCCTCTATCCTTCCCATCCGCACATCATCTCACCCTCCACACTCCATCACCAGTCCACCACCGCACGCCCCCTCCCTCCACTCACACA